AAAAACAATGCAATCTTGAAATTTGCAGGCAAATGGATGGAACTAGAAGAAACCATTCTGAGCGAGATAACCCAATCACAAAAAGACAAATATGATATGTACTCACTCATATGTGGATTTTAGACATAGAGTAAGGATTACCAGCCTACAATCCACACTGCCAGAGAAGCTAGTAAACAAGGAGACACTAAAAGACACAAACATTGTCCTCTGGAGAAGGGGAAAGGGTCACCATCCCCTGAGCAAATTGAGAGCATGGGAAGGCAGGGGAGGGAGCTACGAGAGTGAGAAGGGAAGAAAAGGAAGGATGCAGAGGTCATGAGGAAGCAGAAATTTTGAGTCAGGTGTACATTAGAAAAAAGGACATATGATAGGTAGGATTTTAGTTGGGGGGATGGTAGAGGAGGAAGGGAGGGAGAAGGGAACTGGGATTGTCCTGTAATTCAATCTTTTTTGTAATTCAAAATATATAAAAAATAAAAAACTTAAAAAAAAAACTTAAAACAAAAAACTAAAAAAAAGATGGCTCAGTGGATAAAGGCCCTTGCCATCAAGGCTGACAAAATGCGTTTGAGTCAGCCCTGGGACCACACAGTGGAAGGAGAGAACTGACTCCTAACCTTGTCTTTTCACCTTTGCTTGCTTGCACACACAGAGAGAGAGTGGGGGGAGACATTTAATTAAAAAATAAATTACCAGGAACAGGGATGAAACAAAAGATTTTACTCCAGATCCCAGAAAGTAGAGAATATTTTTATTTTTAAGACAAGGTCCCATATGAGGAAGAGTAGTTTCCCAATCTGCCTTATACAAATCTAATTAACCATGTACCTAATCATCCCCTCAACTGACTTAATAACTCCTTAACAGGATCAGTGGGAGAAAATAATTTTTTTAAAAAACATTGTTTTCTTATCATGCTTGTTTTTAACATTTTCCTGGCATGGAAATTTTTGCATGGAAATGAAGAAAGTGTCTTTCCTTATTTCTTTTGTTTTTTTTCTTTCCTTTTTCCATGATTTTTTGTGGGGCATAGTGGGGATTTTTTGGTTTTGGTTTTTACTTTCTTTCGTTAGAGTTGCCTTGGTCATGGTGTCTCTTCATAGTAATAGAACAGCAACTAAGACAGGACATATGAGAACAAGGGTGATGTGGGAGAAAAAATATTCATCTTTTTCTTACATGTAGAATCTGCATATATGTGTGGGGCTATTCATAGGAGGAGAAGAAATAGCAAGAGAGGCAGAGGAGACCTGGACAGGTGAAGTGGAGTCTATGAAAATGCAATAATGAAACTCGCTAGCTGGTGTCTTAGTTGGGGTTTCTAGTGCTGTGAAGAGACACCATGACCATGGCAACTCTTACAAAGGAAAACATTTAATTGAGGTGGCAGCTTACAGTTTCACAGGTGTAGTCCATTATCATCATGGTGGAAAGCGTGAAGTTGGAGATATATATATATATCTCCAACAAGAGGTAGACTGAGTGTCATACTGAGAGAAGCTTGAGCAAAAGAGACCTCAAAACCTGCCTCCACACAGACACATTTCCTCTAACAAGACTATACCTGCTTCAAGAAGGTCACATCTCCTAATAGTGCCACTCACTTTGGGGGCCATTTTCTTTCAAACCACCACACTTACCTTTAAACAATCTAAGCAACAGAGGAGAGGCTACCTTAAATGCCCTCCCCTGATAATGAGATTGATGACTACCTTATATCCCATCCTATTGCCTTCATCCAGCAGCTGGTGGAAGTAGAAGCTGACACCCACAACTACTCACTGAACTGAACTGGAATCCAGTTGCAGAGACGGAGGAGTGATGACCAAAGGGTCCAGACCAGGCTGGTGAAACCCACAGAAACAGCTGACCTGAACAACGGGGAGCTCTTGGTCCCCAGACTGATAGCTGGGAAACCAGCATGGGACTGATTCAGACCCCACAAACGTGGGTGTCAGTCAGGAGACCTCGGGAATCTATAGGGCCCTTTGTAGTGGATCAGTACTTATACCTAGCATAGGAATGGACTTTGGGAGTCCATCTCACATAGAGGGATACTCCCTGAGCCTAGACACAAGGGGGTGGGCCTAGGCCCTATCCCAAAGGATATGACAGACTCATAAGACTCCCCTATGGAAGGCTTCACCCTCCCTGGGGAATAGAAAGGGTGTGGGACAGGTAGGGTGTTAGTTGGAGGGGGCTGGGGAAGAGGGGAGGGAGAGGGAATTGGAATTGACATGAACAACAATCTTGTTTCTAATTCAAATAAACATTCAAAAACAAAGAAAAACAAAACAAATTACCATTAAAAATTAATGAGTAAACATGTCAGTGAAAAGTAAAAAGCAACTTGACTTTGCCACATCCCTCTTCATAGAGCTCTTAGCTCAAGGGCCTCGTGTATTTCATTCTCAAGGAAAATCATTCTGCCTGCTACTCTATATCTCCCTATAAATATTCTTTAACTCACTCTCTTTAACCTTCCATCAGTCAGAACCTTCTGCAAATCTTAACAACCCTGTTCAAGGACTTCCCTCAATCTAGAATACTGCTAATCAAATTGTTTCTTCATTGCCTCTTGTTTAGACCTTTATTTGTATTGCCTGCTCTGTCTCATGATGCTATTGTAAGTAAAGCACATAAGCCTAAGAAGGTCCTAGGGGCAGAGTCTGTGGACAATATTGCTACAGACACGCCAAGTGTTTAGCAGATACTCAGTGAACAAGATGAATGCAATTTTATCACCTACCTCAGAACATTCACTTATTTTACAATATGGTTCTTTTCTGAGTCTGGAATTTTTGTTGGTTTATATTGATTGTACATAGTATTAGGTTGCATATATACAATTTCTTTCAGGTAAGTCATGTTCTTTGACCATATTTACCCCACATATGTTTTTATTTTGTTTTAATCCTGACTTTTTCAGACACAGTCTCACTCTGTAGCCCAGGCTGGCCTTGAGCTCATGGGCAATCCTCCTGTCTCACTCCCCAAAAGCCCTGGAAATTGTAGGCATGAGCCCTCACACCCAGACATTTTATAAATATTTAGCAAGCGTAAACAAAGCAGAAGAACGTCTTTGTTTTTGTGGTCTTCACATTTTAAAGGTAAGATGTAGTCAGTAAATGAAATAAATAAGGAAGTAAATGTATATGATATCAGGGGAAGAAAAACAATAGAACAAAGAGTGAAGCATAGCAAAGAGATGGGGAGAGGCAGCAGGGATGGATTTCACCCTTGTCCTGGGGGCC